AGCTGGGAATGGAGCCACCATTTGACCCAGCTATTCCCCTTCTTGGTCTATTCCCTAAAGACCTAAAAAGAGCATGCTACAGGGACACTGCTACATCGATGTTCATAGCAGCACAGTTCACAATAGCAAGACTGTGGAACCAACCTAGATGCCCTTCAATAGACGAATGGATAAAAAAAATGTGGCATTTATACACAATGGAGTATTACTCTGCATTAAAAAATGACAAAATCATAGAATTTACAGGGAAATGGATGGCATTAGAGCAGATTATGCTAAGTGAAGCTAGCCAATCCCTAAAAAACAAATGCCAAATGTATTCTTTGATATAAGGAGAGTAACTAAGATCAGAGTAGGGACGAAGAGCAGGAGAAGAAGATTAACATTTAACAGGGATGAGAGGTGGGAGGGAAAGGGAGAGAGAAGGGAAATTGCATGGTAATGGAAGGAGACCCTCAGGGTTATACAGTGGAGGGGGTAGAGAGAAAGGAGGGGAGGGGAGGGGAGAGGTGGGGAGGGGGGAGGGTGGAGGATGGGAAAGGCAGCGGAGCACAACAGACACTAGTATGGCAATATGTAAATCAATGGATGTGTAACTGATGTGATTCTGCAATCTGTGTATGGGGTGAAGGTGGGAGTTCATAACCCACTTGAATCAAAGTGTGGAATATGATATGTCAAGAAATTTGTAATGTTTTGAACAACCCACAATAAAAAATTAAAAAAAAAAAAAAAAAAAAAGAGTAGTAAGGAGCTGGGCACGGTGGTGCATGCCTGTAATCCCAGAAACTTTGGAGGCTGAGGCAGGAGGATCACAGGTGTAAAGCCACCTTCAGTAACTTAGTGAGGCCCCAAGCAATTTAGTGATACCCTGTCCTAAAACAATAAAAAGAATGCATCATGGCTCAATAATTAAGTGTCCCTGAGTTCCATCCTCAGTACAAAAAAAAAAAAAAAAAAAATACTAAGGAGCAGGGCCAAATGTTAAATGGATGTCTTCTCTTTCCTGACCAGAGCTCTTGGTGTCTGGGCTCCTAGCATCTTAAGGTTTGAAATAATGTCTTATTTCAAGTTTATTACCCAGAATCTAGCATGTGGTCTAGTCTCTGATATTCATTAATATTTGTTGAATGTATAAGAACCTTCTCCCATAATTATGTAGCATTTAATTAGAGTTTGTGGGGTTACTTTAAAACTTCAGGATGAGAAAAAAGTACTTAAAAAATAAAAAGTAGTGTTCTACTCCATCTGTTGATTTTAGTTTTAATTTCTTGTCTTTTTATTTTTGTATGCTCTAATCATATAGTAGACTGAATTGAATCTGTGTCATATTTAAATATGTATAAATAAGTAAATGTCAATGCTATTTATAGTGTCTATGCATACCTACAATTGATAACTTTGATTAAACGTGTAATATTTCTGATATGTTATTTGTTATCTTTCTGTGATTAATAAATTTTTCAAATATAAAAAAAAACAAAAAACAAAAAAAAAAACAAAAACAAAGGCTCAAAAACAAAAGAAAAACACAAATATAATTTGAAATAGAGGACAATACTAAAGATTTAGTAAATTGACAGTGAAAGCTACTTCTTTTGTGAAGTATGTAAGTCCTTTGGTTATTTATTTAAAAAACATTATTGAGGTATAATTTACATACTATAAAATTCATCTGTTTTAAGTATATAACAGTAATTTTTAATAATTTACTTAGTATGCTATTATCACTACGATCCAGTTTTAGAATATTTCCATCCCTCCAATAACATCCTTTCCTGTTTTTTATAGTTAATCTCTATCGCAATCCTTAGATCTGGGTAACCACTAACCTATTGTCTGTTTACATAGATTTGCCCATTGCTGACATTTCATATAAATGGAGTCATATAACATCTGGTTTTCTAGTTTCTTTCATGTAGCATAACGTTTTTAAGGTTCATGTGTGTACAGTATTTTGGCCCTTTTTATTGTTGAATACTATTCCATTGTAGCGTTATATCACATTTTATTTATCCATTCATTGGCTAGTGAACATTTGGGTTGTTTTCACTTTTCAGATATTATAAATAGTGCTACTACAAACACATGCATACAAATTTTTGTGTGGACATATATTCTCATTCCTCTTGAGTAGATATCCAGGAGTGGAATTACTAGGTCATATGATAATTTATATATAACTTCTTTTGGGGAGGGGTACTGTGAATTGAACACAAGAGTGCTTTACCACTAAGCTATATCCTAGCCCTTTTTTATTATTATTATTATTTTGAGACAAAGTCTTGCTAAGTTGTTGAGGCTGGCCTTGAACTTCCTATCCTCCTGCCTCAGTCTCCCAAGTTGCTGGGATCTTAACTTTTGAAGACACTGGCACAGTGCTTCCAAAGTAGATGCACCATTTTACATTTTGTGCAGCAAAAGGATAAGGGTTACTGTTTTCTCTCCATCCTCCCAACATTAGTTACTATCTTTTGAAATTATTATAATAGTCATTTTAGTGGGTATCTCATTATGATTTTAATTAGAAAACTACCCTAATTACTAATGATTTTTCATTGGTCATTTGTATAACTTTTTTAGTGAAATGGCTATTTAAAAGTTTTGTCCATTTTCACTTTGGTTTGTAAAACAATATTTTATAAATTCTAAACATAATTTCTTAGATATATAGTGCAAAATCTGTGACTTTGTCTATTCATTATTTAATGTATTTTGATTAAAAGAAATGTAAAGTTTTTCTTTTTTTATTGATTTTTAAAAAAATAAATGACAGCGGAATGCATCACAATTCTTATTGCACATATACAGCACAATTTTTCATATCTCTGTTTGTATATAAAGTATGTTCACACCAATTCATGTCTTTATACATATACTTTGGATAATGATGTCCATCACATTCCACCATCCTTGCTAAGTCCCTGCCCCCTCACTTTCCCTCCCACCCCTCTGCCCTATCTAGAATTCATCTATTCCTCCCATGGTCCCCCTCCCTACCCCACTATGAATCTTTTTATGAAGTACAAAATATCAGGTTTCTTGACAGGCATGGTGGCACAGACCTGTAATCCTAACAATTCAGGAAGTTGAGGCAAGAAGAACACCAGTTAAGAGGCCAACCTCAGCAATTTAGCAAGACCTCGTCTCAAAGTAAAAAAATAAAAGAGCTGGTGATATAGCTCAAGGGAAGAACATCTTTGGGTTTATTCCCTGGTACCACAAAAAAAAAATTTTTTTCTTCTGTAGTTCATACTTTTCGTAGCTTCCCTAAGAAGACTTTGCTAATCCCAAAGTCATGAAGATACTCTTTTCTTTCTAAAAGTTTTATGGTTCTAGCTTTTCTTTTTAATATATTTTTTAGTTGTAGATGGACATAATATCTTTATTTTATTTTATTTTTATGTGCTGAGGATCAAACCCAGCGCCTCATTCATGCTAAGCAAATGCTCTACCACTGAGCCAAAATCCCAGATCCATGGTTTTAGCTTTTATGCTAGGCTTTTGATCCTTCTAAAAGTAGTTTTTGTGTATGGAATGAGGAATCACTGAAGCTCAATTTTCTATGTGAATATCAACTTATATCAGCATCATTTGTTAAAGACAATTTCCTTTTTTCATTGCATTGATTTGGCAATTTGCTTGATAATCAAGTAATCAGATTATGTGTGCATCTATTTCTGGACTCTATTCTGTTACACTGATCTGTTTGTTAGTGTGCCATTAAAACACTGTCTTACTATAGCTTTATAGGAAGTCCTCTAAATTTGTCTGTTTTTTAAAGGTTGTCTGACTACCAAAGCCTCTGTATTTCCAGATTATTTTACAATAGGTTTGTTAGTTCCCCCAAAATAATCTATTTGAATTTTGATTTGGACAGTATTGAATCTAGAAATAAATTTATGAGAATGGATACCATTAACAATATTGTGGGATTCAATCCATGAGTGCAGTACATCTCACCCATTATTATGGGTCCTTATTAACTTCTTTCAATGATGTTTTGCAGTTTTCATTGTTAAGAACTTGCATCTTCTAACAGATATATTTCAAGATTTCCAATTTTTTTGATGTCATTATTAAAAAAGGCTGAATAATTCCATTTTCAACTGTTTTTTTTTCCCTAGAAAAATTCTTCCTATTATAGTCATGCTGGACAAAATGTGGTAATTCTGTTTGATTGCACCTTAGTTTCAAGAAGATATAACAAACAATTTTGGATGAGATAAATTCTACTTACTTAAAAACTATACAATTTATAGAACATATAACATACAAGACAGATAAGACTATCTGGTGATGTTTACAGAAATAATTTTTCCATTAAGTAAGAAAAATTTTGTGTGTGGCAGGGGGATATATTATAGACTTTCATTAAGTTTGTATTGCTGTCCTAATTTTAGCGAAGGAATAGTTATAGACACTAGCAATTATCCCAGTATATAATAAATTAAGTATATATTTGAATGCTCAACAGATATGACAGAGCTACATTGTGGTTGGGAACACACCTAATTTACTGAATAGTTACTTAGGATTTAAAAAATTTTTTTTAGTTATACATGGGCACAATCTTTATTTTGTTTATTTATTTTTATGTGGTGCTGAGGATTGAACCCAGGGTCTCACATGTGAGAGGCGAATGCTCTACCGCTGAGCCACAACCACAGCCTCAACTTAGAATTTTTACAGTTTGTATTTAGGGCATATGTTAAAAACAGGGAAATTTATTTTTATTAAATTTTTAAAGAGAGAGAATTACAATCCTCATACAGGAGATAAATAAAATTTCTCATAAATTATTTATATGCATATAACATAATTACCATATATGTATATGTATATATATATGGCATAATTACCATACTTAGTTGATTATGATATCCATCCTTATTTATGTACACTATGGTTTGTTTAGGGTTTTGAAAAACTCACTAAGCAAGAAGAGTAAGAAAGGATTAAGAGGATAAGCATAGTATAAAAAAATTCTGAATCTCTACCTCCATCTTCACAGTCTTCAGGGGCTTTGGCTTTTTTACAGAGACGAGGATCCAACCAGGTGGTCGTCTTGGTATTGTGGCTGTAGAATAAAGATCTCAATTAGAAATAGCAAAATAAAGAGGAAGAAAAGTAATTCCAAAGCTAAGATTAAAAGTGACTAAAAAGCATATGGTACTGGAACATTTATCTCCTACAGCCTCCATTTGTATTCCTCAAATTCAATAATCTTATTGTTCTCAGTCTGTTACTTCAAAACTACCAAGACAGAAAGATAATGCTAGAGGCACTAATTTGAGAATGAAGACTTTAAAGAAGGGATCAAATGCCAAGTACAGAAAAACACTTTTTTAAGCAGTCAAAAACATTTCAAAGGGTGGGCACAGAGCCATAGACTGCATCACCTAGCCAGCTAAGTCGCATTTAAAACCTTGTTAGCTTGCTGGCTGAATTTCTTCTTTTCTTCCTTCAGAAAAATATTATGTTTCTTGAGTATCTATGATATATATGTACTGTCCTGGGGTCTAGGAATATAGAGACAAATTATCAGACAGAATTTCTGTCCTCACAGGGACTCCTTACAATAAATAGGATAAAATAAAACAAAAGTTTTAAAGTGGCTATTTCTGCAACATGCAAGGAAAAACAATGTGTTTGTTCATCCTGCGGGGGTGGGGGGGAGAAAAAAATAACTTGCCCCTGCTTCTTTCTATGAAGCAAGTCAAAGATACTTTCAGAGAGCAGTGTCTGTTTAATTCCATTACAAGCCAGTCAGTCAGGTCAGGTCACCATGCAGTAAATAGTAATGCTAAAATGAAACTATCACACTGCTAAGTAGACACTGTTAGCTTAAGTCTCCGAAATACAAAGATATTAAAGAAGAAAAATTTGCAGAAGAATATACAGATTGGCAACAAAATGTAAATTAATTATTAAAAGAACTGTTAGAATAACAACGTGAATACGTTTTTTCCTCAGTATCTTTAACATGAGATAAACTCAGTACTCTCTGCCTTGTCCACTCTTAGGAGATGAAGTCAGTGATTTCAGGGCATTAACCGTATCTCCTATGCCTTTTCTAACCCCAGAGCTGCTTAGAGAGACATATGAACATTTTTTTTTTTTTTGGTCTGCTGATAACAGGTAATCTATGTAGAAAAAAAATGGAAAGTGTTTCTAGAAAGTCTGTGCTTATTTCACTCTTTCAGAGAGATAATCTCCCCAAGTGAAAATCAGTTAAATCAGTTTTAACAAAATAAAAGGAATCAGAACTCAAAGAGGTCTAGGAGTACACAGATGGTTAGAGGGAAAAAAAAACCCACAACAAAAACCATGGAGGTATCCTGCTAACCCAAACTCAAAACTGCTATATGAGAAAAGCCCAACTTTGATTCCAATGAGCCAAAATTTTATTGATTAAATCAGCAGATACAGGCAATCCTGTAGAATTTTGCCTGATATTTCCCAAGGTTAAAAAAAGAGCTGTTTTTAGGCTATTCCTAACCTGTAATAACTAAAGACTATGGACCTATGTTAATATTCTTACAGATGCAGACTTTAACAGCAGACTTTAACACAAATACACCATGCTAGTTAAACACAAATCAAACATATTGACTATAGCAAACAAATAGCTTTATCTAGAGTAAATTTTCAAGTATTCTAAATATTAACCCCTTATCCAATATGAAGATAATTTCTCCTGCCAGTGTTCTTTGCTGTGTGGAAGTGTCCAAGTCTGATGTGGTCCCACTTGTCTTTCCTGCTTTGTTGCCTCTGTTTTTGGTGTTGGAAGTTCCTGCCAAATCCAGTGTCATGAAGCTTTCCCCTGTGTTTTCCTCTAGAAAGTTTACAGTTTGGGCCTTACATTTATGTTTTTAATACATTCAAATAATATTAAACTATAAAGAGATTTCTTTTATACATTCTCTGCACCTCCATAACATACTTACTTATCTCTATTCGTAGAGTGAAGTATTGTCAGATCCAATGTCTCATAATCTGTTTCTAAAGATATTTTAGCCACTTCTAACCTTAAAGAATCCCTTAAGTTTCTGGGGTGTGGTAGCATACACCTGTAATCCCAGTGGCTCAGGAGGCTGAGGCAAGAGGATTGCATGTTCAAAGCCAGCCTCAGAAACTTAGTGAGGTCCTAAGCAACTTAGGAGACCCTGCCTCAAAATTAAAAATAAAAAAAGACTGGGGACGTGGGTCAGTGGTTGAATACACCTGGGTTCACTTCCCAATACTTTAAAAAAAAAAAAGTATCCCTTAAATTCCATAGACAGAAGTATATCTTGTTGTGTCTGTTTTGTATAATGTTTACATAAATTTATTAATTTCTGCATATGGTAAAGAGAATAACACATACTCAAGATCTATGTTTTTTGAATACTAAATGCTACTTAGTACAGCAAGGTGCTTATTCTATGGGAAGGATCTGGAATTAGAACCATTTGAGGAAACAGATTCAAGTCCCTCACCTTAATTAACTTCTGAATATTTATTCTTTGTGTGTAGTGCCCAGTCCTCAATACTTAACTGTTATTTGTCAATATTCTATAACTTCACTATATTAATCTTCTAACTCTGAACACACTGCTTTAAATGAGAATAACAAGTGCATAAAAATTTAAAAAAAAACTTCATAATGAAACTTTTAGTAAATTATTTGCATAATATTATTCTCTGATGCAAACAACATTCAGTTTTAGGTTGATCTAATCATGTGGTATTCAGTACTTTATGAATATTACATTAATAATGCTTTCCATAAAAATTTTTACTTTTATGCATCTATAGTGTATCAGTTACTCTGAGGATCAGTGAAATTTCTTCCTATATTATTTACCTATATTGTTTGAATACATCAAACCTAAATTCTAGGACTGACAATACTTAGCTAAGATAATAATATGTACTCTGCCATGATGATAATTCTTAAAATGCTCATGAAGTTGGATAATCTACCCTAAAGTTAAAAAAAAGGGCAAAGCTAAGCCTCCTTTATTCTTTACATTTTCCATCATTAGTGAGGAGTGTATTTTCAATCTCCCTACTTCTATAAAATCAGAGGCCAAATATATTCTTCCTTTATCCAAGTCAAATAAAATGAAATGGTATCCAGGGAAATACCTAGATTAAAAATCAATTCTTACTTGTATAAAAAACATTTTTAAACAAAGAAAAAGAAATGAAAGGCACACAACCAAAATGAGATTAACACCATTCCAGACAATCCTCACAGTGACAGGGCAGATTAGAAGAGATACAGACATTTGCTTACTCAATGAAGTAGATCATCCCCGTGTCAGTGTAGGCCATCTCCCAGTTTTTGGGTAGTGGTTCCAGAGTCTCATCTCTCATCATATAATTTCTAAAGTCCACGGAGCTATTTGTTTGGTTATAACTTGGAACAGTCTTCATCCAGTCAGATGACTCAGAATGCCTCTCTCTGTTTTCTGTCATTGTTCAAAACAGAACAGCATGAAAAGTAGGCAAAGTTATACTCTTCTTTAAGTCCCTCTTCATTTCTAACAAAATGCCAAACATTTTTTATATATGTATATATATAAAATATATAAACCCCACGAGAGAGCGTTGCCCCTTTGAATTTTCAGGCCTAATCAGCTCGTGCCGGTCCTCTAACGGACCTACTTAACCCAGTGAGGATGAGTGTGCAGCTGCTGTCCCCACTCTATCGGGTGGGCAGCCATCTCCTTGCTTCCAATAAATCTCTTGGCTGAACCTCTATTTCGGTGTAATAGATCCACTTTCATTTCATATATATATATATATACACACATACACACACACATATTTGTGCAATTATATATTTCAAATTTACTTATTATGTCCTCATTCTGCTATAAATTTTGAGATAACAAATAAACATACCCAATTCTTTTCATTCACTAATTCACATTAACCCCTAGAGTATATTTGATGCTCGTATGGGAGAGTAGCAACAAAACAACTGTGGATTCAATTCAGTATAAATCCTAACAGTAGCATCACCAGTATTTATACATATATATGCATATGTCAAGCTCTATTCTAAGTGATTAACATTAACTCATAATCCTCACAGCAACCCAGTATATATTATTACTAAACTCATTTTATAAATTGAGAAAACTAAAAGAGAGGTTAAGTTAACTTAGTCAAGGTTACATAGTCATTAAATAGCAAAGCTAGGATTTTTTTTATATACTTTATTTTTATTTATTTATTTTTATGTGGTGCTGAGGATTGAACCCAGTGCCTCACATGTTCTAGGCAAGCGCTCTATCACTGGCCACAAACCCAACCCCAAAGCTAAGATTTGAATCTAAGGGGTCTTTGCTCTTAACTGCTACACTAAGCTGCTCATACATTTAAAAAACACTTTTTTAGTTGTCAATGGACTTTTTATTTTTTAATTAATTTATTTATACGTGGTGCTGAGAATCGAACCCAGTGCCTCACACATGCTAGGCATGCACTCTCGCACTGAGCTACAACCTCAGCCCATGCTCATACACTTTTAAAACAGGTCTTTAAATAAAATTTGTCTTTAAAAATTATACTCAAGGGGCTGGGGTTATGGCTCAGTGGTACAGTGATGTCTAGCATGTGTGAGGCACTGGATTCAATTCTCAGCACCACATATAAATAAATTGATACATAAAATAAAGGTCCATTGACAGTTTAAAAAAAGAATTACACTCAAGGGCTGGGATATAGCTCAGAGGTAGGGCACTTACCTACCAACTAAATAAATAAATAATAAAATTATACTCATTAGACTTCGTTGTTAAATATAATTTTGGGGTAATATTAAAATCCTTTTAGAGTCCCAGATTCTATAATATAAGCAAGTACACTAAAATTTGGTTATTGTATAGGAAGTCAATAATTCATGCACTCACAATTTGTTTCTAGAATTTAAATGATGTTACACAATAATATCATTGTAAAAACTTCAAACTGCAGGCAATGACTAACAATCAGAAAATCTGAGAAGGGCCTTAGATATCATTCCCTATAGTATTTCAACTCCAACATCCTTTATCCAACAAAATCATACAATTCATTAATATTTCTACTTATTAACTTTCACTTTCTCCAACCTCTACCCATTTCCCTATTGCTCTTCTTATCCAACTTAAATTCCAAGATCAACCACTATAATCACTTCCAAGTACTCCTGATTCCTTTGCTTCAACCTGACTTCATCACACTTGCCTGGCTAAACCATAACTCTGCTTTTTCCACCTACTCAATGCTAGCACATGCAGTTGAACATAGACAATGCTAAGGAATTCAGCTTAAATTCATTATCACTAACCTCAGTGGATATTTAATGATACATGACAATCACAGTACATTTATTTAATTGATTCACTCTGACATGCTCCTAGTTAAATATTTCATACCTTCCTTCTCCTTCAGTCATCTACAGTAGTCCTCCTTTTCTGAGGGTGATATGTCCCAAGACCACCCCCTCCCCAGTAGATGCCTGAAACTATGAGTAGGAATGAACCCTATATACAGAGTACTTTGCCCCCCCCCATATATACATACCTATGATAGTTTAATTTATAAATATGTACAGTAAGAGACTAGCAGTAATCACTGATAATAAAAGTAGAAAAATTATAACAATATACTGTAATAAAAGTTTTATAAATGTAATCTCTTTCAAAATATATTATTATACAGTAATATTTTCTTACTGCCGTCAGTATGGATAACTGAAACCACGGAAAGTGAAACTGCAGATAAGTGAGGGCTATTGTATGACTTTCCTCTTATCCTTAATTTCATTTGGTGACCCTGTTTCCCATTTCACCAAGAAAATGGAAGCAAGCAGAAGAGAACTCTGCAAATTCCCACCATTCTGTCTATACAGCAACTATACCCATTTACTTCACCATCTGTTACTTCCTGAGAATTGTCCATGTTCCTAGCTAAAGCTAATCCCCATTTATAAATATAGCCTGTCCCCTCTTGCCTACAGCAATTCTCTCATTCTCATTTTCTTCCCTATTTATTAGATCATATCCAGCCACATAAAAACATGTTATTCCCAAATTCCTTAAAAACAAAATAATTCTCCTTCTCTTCTGGCAACCATCTCATGTCTGTCTTTTCATACCAAACTACCTTGACAGAGTTTATAATTGCTACTCCCACTACCACTCTTTCAATTCTCTCAGACCTTCTCATAAAGGCTTTTTAACTTCCATTAAAAACAAACAAACAAAGAAACAAACAAAAACCCTGTTACTATCAAGGTCTCCAATATTGTCCACATTGCTAAATCTAATGATCAATTCTCAGTTCACATCTTACTTGTGCTCTCAGCAACATCTGAATGGTGGATCACTTTCTTCCTTGTATACTTAGTGACCCACTAACTGGTATCCCTGTTTATACCCTGCCATCCTGTGTCTATTCTCAACACAGTATGCAGAATGAGCCTGTTAAATCTGTTGTGTACTCTTTTACTCAAAACCTTATCATAGTTTCTAATTTCAGTTACAGCCAAAATTATTCTAAGTACCTACAAGACCTTGCGTAATATGCATTCCTCCCCACCCCTCATTATTTGACTGACCATACTGGTTTCTATCCTGCTCTTCTGTCTTTCATCTCTCTGCTCCAATCACACATAGTGCATTGTCTATGCTGCACTGAACCACACTGGTTTCCTTGCTGTTGTCTGAATATTGCAGGCATACTTCCAACTCAGGGCATTTCTCTGTCTGGAAAGCTCTTCTCTCAGATATTTAGAGTTTATTTCTTTCTTTCAAGTCTTTTCTGCCTATTTAAAATTGCAAACCCTGACCTATTTCTTTTCTTTTTCTTCTTCTTTCTTTCTTTTTTTTTTTTTTTTGGTATTAAGAATTGAACCCACTATGCCACATCTCCAGTCCTTTTTATTTTTGAGAGAGGGTATTGCTATGTTGTTTAGGGTGTCCCTAAATTGCTGAGGTTGGCCTCAAATCCATGATCCTCCTGCCTCAGCCTCCTGAGTCTCTGGGATTACAGGTGTGTGCCACTATGCCTGGTTTGACTCCACTATTTCTCATCCATTCTCCTCTGCTTTACTTTTCTCTTTTGTACCGGCTAACACACCACCTGATATTCATTTATGCAGACCACTTCTGACTCTCTTGACTTTCCCATTATCAGGTAAAGTCCATCAGGACAGGGGTTTCTGTCTGTTTTGTTCACTGATTTATTCCCAGTATTTAGTACAAATGGCTAGCTAGCAGTTAGTAGTTTAGAAGGCACTCAACAATTATTTGTTGAGTAAATAAAAAATAAACAAAATGCGTGATTTGTTTTCTATGCACAAAAATAACAAAAAAAGGTACCTAAAATAGAAATCAATCTGTAAGGGAGTTACATTCTTGGGAAATAAGTATTATGATCTATAATACTTCTAATATAGTTCCAAGTGATTGAGTAAGGGAGTTTGTATAACATCCAATGACTTGGGAAGATGCTGTTTATGTTATACTTATTTTGGAAAAAAATTTTAGCATCACTACATAACATATGTCATCCTATGTGGGCATATTAGCAACCTTTGGGGTTAAATCTTTAGCAAGATATAAAATATGTATTGATGTATACAAATAAGGCACTACCTACCTTTTCCCTACTTCTACTCCTTAACAATTTTCTGGTTTTTCATTTAAATACTTGGAATATTTTCTCTTACAAAGAAATATATAACCTAATGTAAATATCCTGTGGTACCTAAACACAATAGAGAGTGTACAAACTGACTCCCACACACTCTTGGATGTGCTCCCTTTAAATATTAACATCAGAGTATGAAACATCTGGTTTAACAACTGTCTTACATGACTAGCATAAACTATTGATATTCAGATAGGTTTATCTCTTAGGGAATCACAGTGATCACCATAAAGCTCTGCATTTGGATGTTAAAAATAAAAAAGAATCTTCTTTCCTCCTAAGTCAAGAATATATAATTCCATATTGGGACAGATTCATGGTCTCTAATCCTAGTGTTCACCATTTTAAAATATTAACAGAATTAATTTTGTAGGACTGCAAATTTGACATGAATATTAAAAGTCTATCATATCATATTATGATATAATTTCCCTTAGTAATCTCTAAAGAATTAGGTATAAATTTCCTTAAACCTTTCCAACCCCAATTTCAGTCTTTACACCCAAATATATCAAGTAATTCATTTAACATTAAACATGCTATGTGGCACAACGGTGTGAGAAATTAGAATGATAAAATAGAACTCCCAATCTGGAGAGGGAAATAAACAATGAATATATTAAAACAATAAATATAATGTAAATGGCAATTTTTTTCACATGTGAAAAATATTCTTTATTAATTTCTCTCATTTCATTACAAAATGTATGTTGGAAACAATTTGAATAACCTACTTGTGGTTTTTTTGTTTGTTTGTTTGTTTGTTTTTGTTTTTAAATCCCTGGCTTCAAGGACTGAGAATCTCCCTATCTTTTACCAAGTATTGGGAAACATTGATTATTGTAGTCAATAGGTTATCATTCTGCTATTTATTTTCTCTTCTCAAGCTCTGAAAAAAATGTCCTCTGTATAAATTAAACAACAACACCAAAAAAATATAGAATGCTTCACAAATTTATGTGTCATCCTTGTGCAGGGGCCATAATCTTCTCTGTATCGTTCCAATTTTAGTATATGTGTTGCCAAAGTGAGCACTAAATGGCAAATTTTAATAACTGATGAAGAAAAGATCAAGGTCCTTTGGGAAAATGATATGGAGATGGGGACATGATATGCAAACTTGGGGACATGAACAATTTTTTTTTTTAGTTCCTACTTTGTGCCAGGCACTGTTTTTGGTACACTCTCAGTTACAAACTTAAGAATCACAGAATTATTTAGGGATACTGAATAGGATATTTCACCACTAAATTTCTGTTGGTTTTATATGTAATTAAAAAATAAGAGCGTCAAAGCAAAAAAAAGAAAATTTTTTGAGTGAATTCAGAATTTAAATAAAAATATTAACAAACCTTTTGGATAATTTTTACTGGCATGTATCTAAACTTCCAAGTACTTTTGTTTGAGCTAAAGGCTACATTATAAAACATCTATATTTTGCTTTTATCCTATAAAATAGGACGTAAGTCAATAAGATTTCCCTATTCCAGAGTCGAAGATGAACCTCAAATATTTTAAGGAATACAGTAATGGCATATTATTTTATTACTGGTAGTTTTTCATACACTTATTAAAATTGGGACAACCCATTTTAGTTTATAGATGGTCTACAGAAATATACATTACTCTACACACAGCCTTCTCAAAACATTGGAAGCTTTCCATGCTTCAGCAAAAACTTTACTACTTTCAATTAAATGTCAGTACAGCCAACCCATAACATCCATTAGAAGTTGTTCATCTGTTTACTGACCTGCGCTTCCACTGCCATTAATAGCATCCTTGTCTTCATCTTCTTCCTCTTCAGGAAGAGAGCTGTCCATTCTTTCCATCTTGCTGACAGATGTTGTTCGTTTTCTTTGGGATTCTGTGTCAAACTCATTATCAAAGAGGACCTGATCAACTGGATCTGGCTGGAAAGGGCTGGGCTCTGCTGGAGGCTTGGGAGTTCCATAGAAGTTTCCTGAAGTGGACAAAATAATAGCAGCTGAAATCTTCATGCTGAATTGACTCAGAATAATATGGCCTACTGTATATCCCTACTGTTTCTTACACTGAAGTTTTGGAATATCTACCATTGTCCAAAAGGTCGACCTAAGCACTCCTTGTGAGAGAAGGAGGTAGAAATAACAGAAAGAACTAATTTCTCAAGAGCCCTTTATCATATATCATCTAACATTTGAATACTACTAAGGCCAGGAAGTTGATCCATCCATCCTTCCATCCTCCCTCCCTCCCTCCCCCCCCCCCGTCTTGATTATTGCTCCTACAAGACTTGCTTTACATGGGCTTTGAATTAGGACCTAACTTGTAAATTTAAAAGCATCAAAGCTGTCATGTAAGACGAACTAGTACAAAAGGTGGGAGGTAAAGACAATAAAAATAACTCAAATAATTTTGTTTTAATATACGTAATGTATTACTTTAGTAAGATGAGGAAATATGTGGGCAAAGGATAAAGCTAAGAACTAAGCAGTTTGCAAAGAAATATGGATTGCTGATATAATTTTTACTTTAAAAATTTTTAAATTTTCTGAGCATTCTAATTATATTATCTGACAATCTATTGAACAAATAGTGACATTATTAGTCTAATTCAATATTGGCTTATTCTCATGAAAGCAAGAAATTAATTTTCTCTTGAGGATCAGTGGTTTTTGCAGTAAAAATAAACATTCCAGAGTAGAAGGAAAACAACTGAATATCTTCTCAAATTGTCAAGTGGCTTCCTTCCTTGAGGCAGCCCAACACAATAGGAAAGCACAGCTACATTAACAGTGTGTAGCTTCCACTAGGTGTGACCTTATATTAGTTGTTATGCTAATTTTATAAAAAGTAAATATGATTAGAAAGTAAAATACTCATGATATTTTATTTTAAAAATCCACAACTTTCAATCAAATTCTTTGAAGCTAGGGAGATAATTAAGATGCTCATATATATAAGGTCAATTTATGAGGTAGATGCATTTTTTTCCTGGGTAGAAAAAAATCATAGGTTGCTCCCTGTAGCACTAAGACTCATTTACGAATGACACAGTTAACCTTAGGTTGGGAATGTTTGAGGGAGAAAGTGTCAAAATTAATTCCTGAAAGTTTAATTTTGAGTGGTGTCATTAAATAGTCAAGACGAAACAATAATCTCAAACTAAAAAACTTTTCAACTACATCTGTCTCTCCCACTCAACTACTCCCTTGTTTCCAAATCCATGTTTGAAATGGTTGCTTATTTCACAAAGACAGATGCAAAAATCTGTATTAACACACTCCAGACTTTGCAAATTTCCTGGGTCCTAAATACAAAACCAATGGAAAAGCAGGTTAAGGCTGGGAAGCAGCTCAGTGGCAGAGCACTCTCCCGACTATGTGAGACCCTAGATTCCATACCAACTATAAAAAAAAGAAAAGAAAAAAAGAAAAAAAAACAACAACATGGGGCTGGGGTTGTGGCTCGGTTGTATACAGTGTTTACCTGGCATGTGTGAGACACTGGGTTAGATCCTCAGCACCACATAAAAATAAATAAAAAATAAAGGTACTGTGTCCAGCTAAAAAAAAAAGAAAAAAAAAATATATATATATATATGTGTGTGTGTGTGTGTGTGTGTGTGTACACACACACACACACACACACACAAAAGGAAAACCACTACCATCAACATAAACACAAATACTGGTTACTACTTCTCTGGGCAGAGAGTACAGAAATAATCCAAATAGAGGGGTGGCCAGGGAATAAAATATTCTAGGATCTCATTTTTCCTTTATTGTGGCCAATAATCATACTCTGAAGGAATAAGGATATATCCTGTGACAGAAATAAAAAGTCCACTTTTCTAAGGATGATGCTAGTCATCCATAGTCACTAAAAATTTAATAATTATTATCTAACTCTAGAAAGTTTAACTTTTTCCTAAGGGGAAAATTGGAAAAATGCAAGATATTAGAGCTGCTATCCATAATCACTGCAAAGATTTCAAAACTTCAGAATAAATTTTGGCAGTTTCCTTGTTTAGAAAGGTAATCATTGCATATACCTATAATTCCAGTGGCTTGGGAGGCTGAAGCAGGAGGACTGCAAATTCAAAGCCAGCCTTAGCAACTTGGCAAGATCCTAAGCAATTTAATGAGATCCTGTCTCAAAATAAAAAATCAAATCAAAAGGGCTGGGAATATGACTCAGTAGTTAAGCACCCCTGGGTTCAATTCATAGTACAAAAAAAATTAATCATTGGGCTTAGTAATCTTAAACCATTGATAAATATTAACATTCCAGATGGCAAGGTATAAAATTCCAAGGTTTGTAAACCCTGACTGTAATTACTAACAGAAAAAAATTAAAAAAAAATTTTTTTGGAACTTTTCTTTTTCTTCCAAAGGCCGTTGCACTTTTATAATATAATTGCCAACAATTAAATAATTCAAATATACATAAACTTATAGATAACAATATTAGAATCATATTAGAAATATATATTTTATTTATATAAATTTATACTTATTTACATACACATTATCCAGATAGTACCACTGCAAGATTTCTTTGAAATTTTCCTTCTTTCTTTCTGAGGATATACATACCTAATCGTAAATACAATTGAAGCCCTAATTTCCTGACCAATCCTTCCCACTGCCTCCCTGAGTTGTCCTGAAGGTGATACATGTCATTCTTCCTAAATACTGTATACATCTAGGGTATATATACATGCATCCATAACAAATAAATATTATTGTTTTTAGCAAAAGTCTGAGTGTTTTCATAATGTTTCATTATTTTCATGAAGAATATATTGTACATATACTTTTGTAACTTTCTTTTTATTCAATTATATTTCAAGAACATATCCATGTTATACATATAAACATATTTTATTCAACTTCTGTGTAATAAATCCATAAATCATAAATCCATCTTTATGAACAAAAAATGCATTTTATTCATTCCCCATCTACAGAAGAGTTATTTCTATTTCTATTCTGTCGCTATTTCAAACAGTGTTATAACGGATATTTCTGGCTCCTATGTACATAAATACATGGAAAACAGTTTCTCTAGGGTACATATCTAGAGAAGGAACTGCTAGGTCAGTTACTGAATTTACCAGTTATTGCCAAAATGTTCTCCAAAGCGACTGTACCATTTTATATTCTTGCCAACAATGTATGGAAAATTCAATTTCTTGCAATTATTAGACTTAATTTTTTTTTTTAACCAATCTGATAGGTGTGAAATGAGGTATGATTGTTGAGCCATGTGTTGTAGCACACACCTGCAATCCCAGTGACTCAGGAGGCTGAGGCCAGCCTGAGAAACTTAGGGAGACACTGTCTCAAAATAAAAAAGTAAAAAAGGGGCTGGGGATATAGTACAGTGGGCAAAGCACCTCTGAGTTCAATCCCTAGTAGCCGAAAAATAAAATTAAATATATAATGTTTTAATTTACATTTCCTTTGAATTAAGCACATAGTAGACAATAACTGAAAATATGCAATATGCCACTTTATCATATACCAAGTTCTTATGCTTCATGGATACAAATCTAAGAAAGTATTTTTATACTTTAAGGACAGAAGACTTTGTAAACAAAACTTCAAAAGCACAATTATAAAAAAAACAGTAATGAACTGATGTTTAATTTTTTTAAAATTTATTTTTTAGTTATAGGTGGATGCAATATCTTTATTTTATTTTTATGTGGTGCTGAGGATTGAACCCAGTGCCTCACACACGGTAGTAGGTGAGCGCTCTCCCTCTGAGCCACAACCCCAGGCCCTGATTTTTAAATTTTAAAAATTCTGTTTAATGAAGAAATACAAGACAAGATTAACAGGTGACAGAATGGGAGAAAATATCTACATCTAGTAAGAGAGTAATATCTAAATATCTAAGGAAAACCCATAAATCAGAATATGACTGAGATCTCAACTTGGGAAAAAATGAACAAAGAAAATGAATGTAGTGCATAATTTGCAGAAGTTCAAAAGACTAATAGGCACATGGAAAAATGCTCAGACTCTCTTGACTACCCGAGAAACTAAAATTAGAATGAGATACCACTTCTATAACCATTAGATTGGCAAAATTATGTAACTGAATAATGCCAAGTACTGGGAGATGGTGCCATTATTATAGCTGCTACAGAAACCTTTGTGTACTTCTAGGGAGAAAAGAGACTGGAGAGGCACCAAAACTATTTCATCAGACAAGGATACATACAGTCTACAAGTCAATAACTCGGCTCTTGGGTATATATTCTACAGACATTCTCATACATTTGTAAAAAGACATGTGAGAACGTTCATCTTTACTTATAGTAACAGGGAGTTTGAGGGAAGGCCATCACTAGGAGAATAATTAAGTTAAGTGCAATGGATTACACACAAATACAGTATATCAACATGGGTGTATCTAAAACAAAGTAATAAATGAAATGATAAAAATCTGAATGATAAATATATATGACACAGTTCAGTTGTAAACAATAAATATGCACACAAGACATAATATACACTGTGCAAGAACACATAGAAAAACATACATATTAAACACATCAGAATGATTAATTATAAGAGGGAGGCTATCTGTGTAAAAGTCAAAACAAACAAGCAGCTGTCCTTTCCTCTAAGCCTTCACTGGCAATCTTCTCTGAGGAAGATATTCCTATTCATTTCTTTAAATCCTTTGTTGTTGTTTTCTTCATAACAATTTATAGTTTTTTGGTTTTTTGACTATTTTCCCCCACTAAGAGATAGGATTAAGGCAGTGGCATTTCAGTCTTATTCATCCCAGTACTACTAGGCTCTCTTACAGTGTTTGGCACATAGTAGGTACTTAACAAATGATTGCTGAATGAATGAAATAGGACAAAATGAATGAGTGAATGAATGAATGAATGAGGGAGTCATGGTAGCTAAACCCAGAAAGGATAGTTAGATAAAACTTGTCAGGTAAAAAATGGCTGAAGATTTTAAATAGGAGAGGGACATGATCAGAAGTATGCTTAAGGAGGATCAGCATGGTAGCAATGGACAGGTTGGATTGGACAGAGGAAGAAATTGAACATAAGAGACCAACTGCAATAGGCCAGACATGAGCTGATCCAGTAGGCTTCAATGAGATTGTGAAGGTGAAAAGAAGGGCATTGTGAAAGTGGGTACAAAGGAAGAAATGACTAGATGTGGTAACTGACTGAAGTGAAGTGCAAGAAAAGGGAGGAAGTAAATGATGACTCCACTGTTTTGAGCTTGGGGTACTGCTACAGAGAGAAATTATGAAGAATTAAAATGCAAATGTGGGTATGTTGTATTTAGGGTTAGATATTATTCTTCATCATCTGAGGCCCTGAAGATAATATCAAGTAAGAAAGACATGATCACTACTATCAGAGTTTATGGAATAGGCAATTATAATAGCACGATAAAGCAAAGATGGAAAAGTAAAGGGTGCTATGGAGTGGATAAGCTTGCCAGGAAAAAAGCATGTTAGATAAGGAAAAATAAATAGACCTAAGAGAATCATTTAAAAATTGGAACTGATCTCAACTGTACTTTCTGGAATCAAGTGGGTAGAGATATTAAAAGAAAACCAATTATTCTGTTTTTATTGCCCACCCCCCAGCAAGTTATATGTTCCCTTCTCCAAGATAGTCAAGGTACATACAGGTTTTTATAAGTATACAGATTTTTATTCCCAACCACAATAGAGAGCAATCAATAAATGCTTGTTGAGTTCTGATGATGACTGTAAATTACTATGAAATAGGCATGCTAGTCAGTTTGATTTTTAGTATATTATTTACAATTAAATTTATAATATGAAGAAATGTTTCTATTTTGGTTTAATCCCATCTTATTTAGCAAATTATAAAATCTCCTCATCAAAGGAAAATTTTCCTAAGAAACTTTTAGAAATAGTATTTTACTGATCAAGTTCCCTCTGAAATAATTCATCATGCAGATAGTTTTCTGAGTGTTGTTAATATTAGGGGACATACCATCATAAGTTCCACTTTCTAACAATGCTCCACTCTCTTCCAGTGCTTTGAACTGTTCAACAGAAATGAAATTATAGTCCACCCCTGGAACTTCCCCATCCCTGGGGGCCCTTGTAGTGCCTAAAGAAAAAAGAAAAAAAATAGGTTGCAAAGTACTTTTAAACTTACAAAATATTCAGAGTATCAGAAAATTCAGTTTATAGAGGCACAGACTATTGGATATATTGCATTTGCTAGAATGAGGATCAGAAAATTTCAGGCAACTTAACATTATTAGGTGAAAGTAGGACAATAAATGTAGAATGAGTAAATATACTTTAATAAAATCTACAGATGGCCATGAAATTCAGAACCAAAAAAAAACCCCACTAAAATAATTTTAGTGCTAAAAAAGGCTTAATCTCTTAAAACACAACATTTAATCTCAATTATCATTACTTAACAATAAGTAGAAATAAATTCACCATTAAGAGACTTCATTTTCTCCCTCCAACTTTATTCAAGTAAAAGTTGACAAACAAAAATTGTGTCTACTTGTGATGTACAATGTGATATTTTGCACATATTGTGTAAGACAGAATTAATTAAGTACTGGGGATTGAACCCAAGGGGTTTTTTACCACTAAGCTACATCCCAAGCCTTTTCTATATTTTATTTTGAGATAGGGTCTCCTTAAATTGATTAGGGCCTCATTAAATTGCTGAGGTTGGCCTTGAACTTGTGATCCTCCTGCTTCAGCCTACTGAGACACTGGGATTACAGGTTTGTATCACCACACCCTGACAACACACTTCATTTTTAAGTAGTTGTCCTGTGTATGTATCTTATTTTTCTTTCCTAGCATAAATGTAAACTTACATTCTATTTACTAGAGTCATAAAGATAACAAAAAAGAGAAGCAATTTTTATAAGTCTTTTAATGTCCTTTATTTAAAAATCTGGATAAATATTATGAAGTTATTTTAAACTAACCAAAGGTTTAAGATAGGTATTCATATATTTCATCTTAACCGTTATTCTCTTTAAGGAATTTTAAAAAATCACTGTTAAGTAAACTGATTTATAAACTGATTACAGCAACAGATCACTAAACTTCTATATATTAAGGAATTTATAATAAGGTAAAATCTTTCTTCTGTATAAATTCAGGTTGTGGCAGTATTGCTACATCTGACAAATTTCGCTAAATGAGAATCAATCACTTTTATGAACTGATATTAGCAATGTCATGTTAAATACTACACAAAACAAAAAAAGACCCAGGCTTTTCTCTGGACATGGTCTGAGACAGCCTTCCCAAACCTGTTCCTCCACATAGGCTGAGAGACAGTCATCTCAGGCTCCTCCTTCTACTCCACATTCAGTCACCAAATGCTGTTGATTTCACGTCCTAAATACCTCTAGACATTTCTCCTGGTTCCCACAGTCACCTAATTCATATTACTGTTTGCAGCCTGTGTGGTCGGATCCCCCAGATCAACTCTTGCCTATCCTTGGCTATAACTCCCACCAAATTACAGTCAGAGACTTTTCTTAAAAAAAAAAAAAAATTGAGCAAAAACAACAACAAAAGATCCTGTAAGCCCTTAAAAGGTTTCCCATGATTCCTGGCATTTTTACAAGGTTCTAGCAATCTTAGCCTTCTCTCCAGTTTCTTTCCCGTCTCACTCCTTTCACACTCCAGGCTTTAGCTATAGTAATCCTCTCTCCCATAACACAATTCTTTCATTGACCCCTTACACTCACTTACTTCCAAATAAGTGAATCCTTTGTTCCTTCCCTAGAGCAATTCCTATTTCTTTTCCCACTCTCACTTCTGCTAACTCAGTCATCCTTCAGGTCTTGGCTTACAAAATTTCTTTAGAGAATCTTCCCTGATTCTTACCTAAGGTATGGCAGCATGCAGAAATTATGTCTGTTTGGTTCGCAATACCCCAAGTCTTGACACAGTGCAAAGATCTTGAAGTGTTCAATGTACATAATTGTCAAATTAAGTGAAATTCTAAATAAATAATGTAATGCCTAGCAATATGCTATTATGTTATAGATTAATTAATGGGAAACTTAATTGCTCTCATATTTTAGCTGCATTACATTCGATTATATTCTGTAACATGAAAAAAATCCACAAAGATAATAATACATTAATTGTAATGACTTGAGAAAATAATGCTTAAGCCAACATTCCATGCAACAAAGACTATATTGAATTCCCCTCCTCATTTTTTAACCCAACTTTTTCTAAAAATAAATATTTCTGTTTTATATAAAAGAGGATACAAGCACTGGAAAACATTTTTTAGCATAATATAATTTTTCATTTTCAAGTATTTTGTGTTTCTCATATGAGCCAAACTACATTATTAGATTCCCTATGTCAGTAATTTTTAGCTTCATATTAAATAAAAATTAACTTTAAGAAGTAAATTCAGTGGGTTAAAATTATTATTTATAATGATCTGTAATAGATGGAACAAGCATAGCACCTCCTTCCCATTAAGAGGTGGGGCCTGTTGCTTCATCCCTTGAGACTCACCTGGATTCATGACTAGCTTTCATTAATTTAATGGAGAGCATGATGTTAAGCAAATTTAGGAGTCTAGACTTCCACCTCCACCCTTTTGGAATGTTCTTGACACCATGCAAGGAAGTTTAGGCTAGACCACTGAATAATTACAGAGTCCCAGCTGACAAACAGCACCAAGGCCTCAGACATGAGTGAGCCATCTTATTAGCCCCTCTATCCACAGTTGAGCTGCCAAAGACTGAAGCTGCGTGAGTGGTCCCAGCTGAGCCCAGCCAACTCACGGAATCACAAGAAGTAACACATGACAGTATTTTAAGTCACTGTGGGGCTGTTATGCAGCAAAGGCTAATTGAGATATTATCCAAATAAATTCTACTATTAAATATAATGACTATATAAAATCCAATTTAACAGCAAACCAGGTTATGGATAATACTGAAAAAAGAGGACTGACCCAAGGGCCAGGAGGAACTGTGTTAGTCTGAGGTAATTAAAAATGGCACAATTTGGAGTAAGACTTTAACCACTCTGGAATTCATTCTCTTTCTGCAAAGTGGTATTAAACAAAATGATTCATGGTTCTTTCCTTTTATATGTATGAATGATATATAGGATTACAACATATGTATATTTCTAAAGATGTAGTAGCTTTGATGTTAATTCTCTCTACAATATTATAAAATTTAACTTTCTTCACAAAAGCCCATACATATAAAAAGTTCTCTTCAATCCCCCATCCTCCTACTTTCCACATTACAGAAAATTTACCTTTATATTCTCCTGATACTTATATATTGCAAAGCTTTTCACATCCCCTCCTTCACTTACTACCACAGTTCTCCTTTTTACACTGATATTTTATTCATGTCTAAAATGTTTACTCCTGTCTCCAATCCCTCCCTCTCATTCTTTCCTGAGTGCATTCCAATCAGCCATTGTCCCAGCCATTCAGTGACACATGTGCTCTGTTCAACCATAGTCTTCACTTGGCTGAACTCCATAGTTAATTTCAGTCATCATATTACCTGTCCTATGAACAAGTGATATAACTGATCATTCTCCTTTTTTAAAGTACTGAATTACACAGAAAAGTATATGAATTTTAAAGTTGAAAAACTAAAAGTAATTTCACCCATATGAAGAAATACGACACTGACAAAACCCTAAAGCCTGCACATCTGATTTTAAACCTTCAAATTTCCATCTCCCAAAGGAGCCACCATCTTGACATCTGGATGATTTCCTTTCCCATGGCTGCACTGACTAAGGAATGTGTTTCTAAGCAACATATATTAGGTTTATAATTTCATGTGAGTGGAATTATACAATAACATTCCTCCCATGTCCACACAGGATACTTGTTACTAGGTTTTAAAAATTTTTCAGTGTTGAGTGTATAAAGGCACCTCGTGGTGTACTTAATGTGCAAGTGCATTATGAGATTAAACATTCTTTTTTTATATATTTACTGGCTGCCATGATTTGAAAATGATTTGTCTCCACCTCAACTCATGTTGAAGGCTGGTCCCAAACGTATGATGTTGAGAAGTGGTAAATCCCTTAAGAGATAATTAGTTCATGGGGCTCCATTCTCATGAAGAATTTAATGTAGTTCCTAAAGAGTGGGTTAGTTTTCAAGAGAGAGAGTTGTTAAAAAAAAAAAAAAATGAGCCTAATTCTTCCATTTACTTTTTTGGCACTTGTGCATCTCTTGTGCATGTGCCCACTTTGCCCCTCTGCCATGAGGCCATTATCAGAAGAAGCCAAGCAGATACCAGTGCCATGCTTAAAGACTTCCAGATCCATGAATTAAAATAAACCTCTTTTATTTATAAATTATCCAGTCTTGGATTTTCTATTATGGCAACAGAAAATGGACTAAGATATGAGGAACATAAATTTCCTGTTAGGAAGTGAGTATTCAAATCTTTTCTGCTCTATTGAGTTGTCTTTTAAAAATTGATTTATATTTCTTTATACTGTACATACTATAATGCACTGTCAAATCTAAGTAACCAGCAGTTTCTGAAATGCAGTATTATTTTATCTCTAAGAGAAAAAAGCTTGCCAATTATGACTGAAAGAGTACATTTATTTTAAGATGTTTTCCAACTGAAGAGATGTTAAAATGTGAAATAATTGTTTTAGTATTGAGTACTGTGGTCTGCTGGCAGATAAGTATGTTGCACATGGAATATTCCTGTGAAATGTGATTTCTTGAAACAGTGCTTATTGCACAATCATACAGCCAAAACAACAGAAATTATAGAGAAAATGGGTCAGGGTTTAATTTTCAAAACAACTTTGTAAACAGAACACTAACAAAATAAAATATAATCCTAACTAAAAATATAAATACAGTTTAAAAGACATGTTAAATTCACAATAAAAAATTGTAGAGCAAAAATATTTGTCATTTAAAAATGAGAAAAAAAGATAGCTGCACAGAAAGAGGTAATAGGATTGAAACTACTGACAAATGAATATTGTACAATCTACAATTTTAGACAGAGCACAAGGTCAAACAGAAAACAGTCACACTGAGGGGAATGGCATCACAGATACTAGTATAGTCTTCCTCAGTTACCACAT